TGGTTTGATAGAAACAGAGATGTTTGGGGCTTTTTCTCTGTTTTTAACTTTCATAAGAGCTTTCTATTGAGCACCAGCTATATAGCCTCTCTTGAGAATTAACACACACACACACACACACACACACACACACACACACACACACACACACACACACTTGAAGCATGAATCTTAAAAGTTCTTATTAATAAAAACAAACCTGGAGCCAAGTATTGGGGTGAACTGGAAGATCAGAGAGACAGAACAGGCCAACTTCTCAGCTGATCTTGTTTCCTCAGACTGGAAGCCTCTGTGTCCACATATCTGAATGGCTCTCATCTGAACTGTGCTGCTCAAAACCTAAAAGCTTAACCAGCCAAATACTTCTAGTTCCTGGTCCTCACACCTTATATATCTTTCTGCCTTCTATCATCACTTCCTGGGATTAAAGGCTCACTCCCTGGGATTAAAGGCATGTGTCACCATGCCTGGCTGTTTCTAATGTGGCCTTGAACTCACAGAGATCCCACATGGATTTCTGCCTCTGGAATGCTAGGATTAAAGGCATGAGTACCAACATTTTCTAGTCTAAGTATCTAATGGCTTTTCTGTTCTCTGACCCCAGATAAGTTTATTAGGGTACACAATATTTTGGGGAACACAATACCACTACACACACCATATTTCCAGACCTCCATTCTCTCTGTGGCCAGGATCATATAGACTCATAGGTAATAACAATGTCTAACACCAAGATTGTACACAAAAACTACACGGAGAGCTTAACTATAAAAGGGGAATAATACCTTCAAGTCTACTGCAGTTGAAGGCAAAGGGGAGTGTTGGGGAATGGAGTGGGAGATGGACCAATGTGCTGAGATCATCTGTGTCTGCTATGTTTGCTTATCAAAGCGACAGCCCATCCCCCCACAGAGACTGGAAGTTGGTGATAGTGTTTTTCTCAATAACCACTTTCTTTTTTATTTTTCCTCCTGCCTAAACAAAATGTGTATTTAAGTTCTAAGTATTTGACAGTTTTCATCTTGTTTGCTTGTTTGTTTGTTTGTTTGTTTGTTTGTTTTACAAGACAGGGTTTCTCTGTGTAGCCCAGCCTGTCCTGGATCTCACTCTGTAGCCCAGGCTGGCCTCGAACTCACAGACATTTGTCTGACTCTGCCTCCCGAGTGCTGTAATGGAAGGTGAGTGCCGCCACCACCACCCGGCAGTTTTCATCTTCTTCAATGTTTATTTTTTCTTTTATTAGAAATAGATTTTTTTTCTCATATAATATATCCTGATTACAGTGCCCCTCCTCCACTTCTCCAGATTCCTCCTCAATTTGTCAGGGGGAGAAGCAGAAATATTCACAAGGCAAAGAGACAGTGAAATTGACAGTGGCAAGTTTTCTAAAATAAATACTATTTTAAAAGGGAAGCCAGGAGCCTGTGGTCTGAAAGGCACTTGTTAGAAGTTTAGGTAGTTATGGGGAATTCTCAGCCATCCTGGTAGAGTCAAAAGATGGCCTGATAGCACAGAGAGGAATGCACCCTTTCTTAGCAGAACATACATCACAGCTTTAAAGAAATTTAAAAATGGACCCGTCCCACACAACACATTTCTGTTCAACGGTCGAATCACGGTGAGATCTTGCTGGACAGCTTCACAAGACCGAGGAGGCACTTGATCTGAAGTGTTGAGCGGACTGGACTGAAACAAGATGCATCTCTCTATTTCTCACTGCTTTGGTTGACTGGGTGATACCATGACCATGAATGCCATACAAATAGTGTCTCGAAACTTTAGTCTCAAAAGCAAGTTTCAGGAAAGTCATTTTACAGAGTCGATCATGAATCACTCTCTGTGACCATGAGGTGGCTTTTATTATAATGACTTAGAAAGGCAAGTACAAAAATATGCATAAGGCAGTTGACTTAAAACACACAAGCAAGGGGAGATTAAAACAGCATAAAGACATGGAGTAAAATGTGAACTGAACAGGACATGGAGATGGAGGAGAGAGGGGAGGGAGAGGAGAGACAGGAGGGACAGAAATGACAGCTTTCTCTCATACAATCCTTAACACTCCTTCTCTGGGGCACCAGTCCATGAGCAGTGCAGCAGGACCTGGCTTTCCATCTGACATGGTTGCCATGGTTGCAATACGCCTCTTAAAAATGAGCTGCTCCCCTCAGCATCAGATATTGAAAGCACTAGAGATCAGGTGGTAGGAGATGTTAAGGTTAGAGAGGTCTTCACACGGAGGCCACCATGATGGCATCTGTGGCTTTCACAGATGAGGACCAGGCACCTGACCTGGCACCTTTGCTGTCCCCGGCTCTTTGGTGCCCTACACCGTGTGGTGAAGCAGTGAGGAGGGTCCTCACCAAATGGCTGCCCCCTTGCTTTTGGATCGCCAACTGCAGAATTGTGAAAAGACATCGTTTTCTGTGACCCAAGCTGTGGAGGTCTGGTGTGGCCGCAGAAACCCTGTCTCTGTCTCACTTGTATTTCTGTCACTCATTCTCACACCTTTGGGAACCTCATGTGCAAACTGAGAGAGCGGGAGAGTAAGACTCACTGGGCTAGAGAAGGAAGCCTCGATACCGCACAGTGAGCAGATCAGATGGGCGGGAGCTGAGCAAAGAACTGACTAGTGGGCTAAAGAGCTTTTACAACTTGAAGACAGGATTACCAAAGTTGCCCAGGGAAGCAAGCTATACAGTTTGAGAGCAAGGGTATTTGTGGATTTCAATTGAATATCAGGTTAATTCAGATGAAATCTTTCTTATTAGAATGTCACTTGAGCTTAAAAATCCATGGGGTGCATTGGAAATGAACAATCACCATCCATTTGCTGTATTATGTTTATGGACACAGAGTATTAAAACAGTGTCAGACTTTGTCAGGTGTAATGTCAGCTTGGCCAGAATTTCAACATGTCTTCCGTGGTGGTGAAGTGACGGGACTCTGCTCCAAAGGAGGCCTGGGTGATTGATTGATTAACGTGTTGGTGTGCAAAGCTCTTGGGGAGAATATTGGGGCTCTGCCTTTATTTACCACGAGACAAGGAGCAATGACAGGGGATGTTCATCCCAGGTTTTTAATAAATCGTCCGCGGGAGAGCAAGTTAGCTATCACTTTTCTAATTTCTGTGACAAGATAATAAGAGGCAAGCAGCCTGAAAATTGACGTGGCATTCAGCTCAGTTCACTGTCTATGTGACATGTGTTGGGCTTCAAAGATTATTTATCTTGAGCCTTATAAGAAACTTTGAGTTAGAAGTCATGACTGAACCAATTTTACAGGTGAACCTAGCTTTGTTCTCTGTCTCTAGAGACACATCTGTGCTCACATATTTCAGAAGGAAATGTCCAAACTGGACCCCATGTGTTCTGGCTTCATTCCTCATGGTTGTATCTTTCCATTATTTTCCCCGACTTCTTCACTGTCACTCTAGACACTGGAGAAGCAGCAGGATGCCCAGACACCTGGACACCTGAGCAGACTGGCCTTGTCTGATACCAGCATTTATTTGTTTGTTTGTTTGTTTGTTTGTTTGTTTGTATTTATTTTGGTTTTTCAAGACAGGGTTTCTCTGTATAGTTTTGGTGCCTGTCCTGGATCTCGCTCTGTAGACCAGGCTGGCCTCGAACTCACAGAGATCCTCCTGGCTCTGCCTCCCGAGTGCTGGGATTAAAGGTATGCGCCACCACTGCCTGGCACCAGTATTTATTTCAAGGCATGCCTTTCAGCCAAACAAGATGTACATGCTACTATAGTAGGCTGTTGTTTTAGGATCTGGCATCTTTTTTTTTATTTTCTGAATAAAATTAGTAATTAAGACTATTCAGCATATATTGCATATTTAAAGAAACCCCCGCTGGCTGGGAGATGACTGAGTTAGGTGCTCCCTGCTTAAGAACCTGAGTTTGATTTCTCAATCCTTATGTGAAGGTAGGCACAATGGTGCGCCCCTATCCTTCCTGCACTGGGTGGGGGATGCAGGAATGGGAAGATCTCTCGGCCTTGCTGGCCAGCCTGAGAAGCCTAATAGGCAAGCTCCATGTCCTTAGTGAGACTCTGTCTCACTAACCAAGGTAGAGAGCTCCTGATGAATAACGCCAGAAGTTGACTTCTGGACCATACACACATGTGCACATACACCTGCACACACATGTGCACCCCCACACACATGAACTTTCACACAAAAGAAAGGGACAGAGAGAGAAAAAGAAACAGAGAAAGAAGAGAAGCCTCCTATGATCGCATACCTGGGAAGAAGAGGGTCCCAAACTCTACTGACCTATGACACTTGGTGATAATATAGTTTCGGTTTTGAATTTATAATATTAAAGTTTATTAGGATTATTTATTTAATACACACAACTCAATATATATTTGATCAGTGATGGATGATATGTAGTATAAATAAGAACATTTTTTTTTTTTTTTTGGTTTTTCGAGACAGGGTTTCTCTGTGTAGCTTTGTGTCTTTCCTGGAACTCACTTGGTAGCCCAGGCTGGCCTCGAACTCACAGAGATCTGCCTGGCTCTGCCTCCCGAGTGCTGGGATTAAAGGCTTGCGCCACCACCGCCCAGCAAATAAGAACATTTTAAGAAACATTTTAAAGCCTATTTAAAAAAAAAAAAAACTTACAGTGTCTGTGTATTGTGTATACTTTAATGTTTCCAGTGATTTTCATAACTAAAGAAACTACATTTTTGTCTTTATCATTCACTATTCATGTACTAATTAATTTAGGGAACATTGAGTATGAGCTAATTGCAATATCAAGTTCTTTCTTAGAATACAAAGATAAATAAGGGTCTTGCTTTCAAAAATATGCAATCAACAGCTAAAATACATTTAGTTTCTTTTTGAGTGGTATATTTATTTTTATTTTATAATTTTATGTGTATGAGTGTTGCCCTACCTGTATGTATGCACACCACGGACATGCAGTGCCTGAGGCGGTCAGAAGAGGGCATGAGATCCCTTGGAGCTTCAGTTACAGGTCGTTTTGAACCACCATGTAAATGCTGCTGCGTACCAAAGTGGTCCTTTGCTAGAGCAGTGAGAGCTCTGCTAAACCTCTCATCTCTTCAATCCTTTATTTCTTAGTTGGCAAGAAGAACTGTACTCTCTGAACATTTTCAAGGGATGGGCCACACTCTAGGCAGTCCCACAGCCAAGTCGAACTTGCCTGTTACTTGAATTTATAGCTGACTTCTCAATCAAACACGTTTGCAAAAAGTTACCATTCAAGACACAGTAATGCAAAGACCATAGTAAACATCGTGGCAATGTTATGTAATAGTTATAGATTAATGAACAACATTAAATATCCAGGCCATTTATTCTCAGAAAGAGAGAAGAATTAATCACCAGGGCAGCCCTCCAGAACCACATTAATTCTGTGCTCGAGTGAATATATTTATTTGAATACATTTTTAAAAGGCCATACATCTTGCAAGCATAAGAAAAATTGAAGGAAACTTCCTGCCTTAGTTGATTTCACATTACGGTGAACTTCGCATAATTAGCTCACCGGAGACAAGGACTTCAAGAGATACAAATGACAAAGGCAGCGTTGGGTTTTCTTGAGGGTGACATGCTCTGTTAACTGTTGAAGGGACCTTGTACCACCTGAAGCCTCCTCCGTGGGTTCAGTATGCAAAATATTCTGAAACCGTAGCTCTTCCTTTTAGGAATGTGTGTTGGGTAAAGCATCCTGCAGTGGTTGCGTGTTGTTTCTTTGGCCAGTTAAACAAATGGAATTTGTACATTCTCATGTGTAATGGAGGACACAAATGGAGCCGTTTCACAGCCCGAGGAAGGTCAAGAAGAAGGCACTGGCTGAGTTTCATATTTAATACAACTCTGCCCTTCTGCAGGCAGCCGACCTGGCAGTGCATCCACAGAACCAAATTTGCTTGGTACCTAGAACCCTGCCAAAGATAAGTGCAGGCTGTCTTCCAAGTTGTGGCTTTAAGAAAATCCCATTATCTGATTATGCAACTAAGCAAAGCTAAACCCCGAGATTAGCATCGTATCAAAGATGGGAAATTGCAGGAGAGCTTAGCAGTGAAAACTATCAAGCAGGAAAACCTGCCTTTTCTGTTTTCCCGGGATACAAATTTCATTACCGAATGTCCTATAATTCTCTAATCTGAAGAGAGAATGTCAGTTATTCATATCATTTTGACAAAGCACTAAAATAATCTTTGAAATTGGAATGGCATGTGCCTTTAAAAGCCCACTGAGATGGTCCCTAAAAATAGTTTACCAAGCAACAGAATCGAATTGTTAGGGAATTGCTCTTCAATGCATTAGAGAGTCAATTCCTGTGGCACTTCAGCTAGCCAAAGTAATAAATATAAAATGGTAATTTTTTTCTCCATGAGCTGTTCTTGCAAGTCTCACGAGTTCATGCCACCCAGGAGTATTGTAACAGTGTGTGCTTGCAGGCACCAGGACTCAGAGGAGAGGCAGTGTGCTTCTGGTAGCTGGTTAAATGTACTCAAAAGAAGTTAGCAATTACAATTAATGCCTCTGATGCCTGCCACCACTGTGTCTATTTCCAGAGTCTAAGTGTCAATGGGGTGTTTCGAGTGCAAGATTTTAGATTCCAACAGCAAGAGTGGATGAACGCCCTCTCCTAACCAGCTGCAGTGCCTGGCTTCCCCTCCACACCTCCCCACCACAGCAGGGAAATGCTGACAGGAGGAGAATTCCTTGGTCAGTCTAATCCAGATAACAACCAGATCACCATCCGGGAGGAGGAGAAACAGCTAAAATTAAATCATACCTGGGAAAAGGCTCACCCGAGGAAAAGGATGAACTCAAACGCACAAAACTATCACCGGTTCCAGAGAAGATGTGTGAGACGTGATGTTGGGGCGGTTTCTGTTTTATTGGAAACTCCCAAGAGCTCTTCCTTATTGCACACACCTCCGACTAGCTGCTTCGTTCAGTAAAAGTGAAGGAGGGGGAGGAGGTGTTGATATTTCATACAACTGAAATTCTGGCTGCAGATGTAGCTCAGTGGTTGAGCACTCACCTGGCATGCAGGAGGTACTGCGTTTGATCCCAAACTTTGAAGAAAAAAAAAGTAAATTTGAATACAACCCAAACTGGGAACTTTGAGTGCTGTTACTGTCATCACGTTCCTAGCAATTTCTAATTTATTCTTTATTAAACTCCTATGAGCATGTTGCTAAGGTAGTACAGTGGTAAAGTACAGAACAGGTACCAACAGCCTTAGGAAGGTTCTCAAAAACATCCAGCTAGGAATATACTAATTCCCCTCCACCCACCCCCACCCCCGCCAGACCTGAGGACCGAACCCAGGGTTTACCCCTGAGCTAAATCCCCAACCCCGGAATAGACTAATTTAAACATAATTAACAGCAAACAAATGTGAGTCTTGTTTCCCCAGTTTTTATCTTGGGTACCCTTAAAGAATGCTATTCTGCTTATTCTCAAGAATTGGTGATGTCGTCGTCGGGAAGAATGGCTATCTAACAACCACAAAAGACAAAGGTGAAAACCTTTGACAGAATGGACTTTCTGAGACCGCACGGGAAGTTACATTTGCCACATTTACCAAGGAAAGGCAAAGCAGAGGTGCTGGTTGCAGCAGGAGTTAGGAACATATGTTTACTTAAGGCAGAGGGTGCAGAGGGGATGCATGCCAGAAACACACCAGTTGGTAAGGAGAATTCAGCTGAGAATCTTATTAAAGAGCTGCTAGACACCAGGACAGGACTAGCATACAGATTTACAAAGCTGAATGCTTCAGGGGCTCTCCCACTGGGGTGCCTGGAGGCTAGGTGATTCTAGATCCTGTAAAGCTGACAGTATCTGCAGTTTCGAGTGTCCCCTCTGTGTGTGGTGTGTGTGTGTGTGTGTGTGTGTGTGTGTGTGTGTGTGTGTGTGTGTGTGTGTATGCACACACGTGCGTGCGCGTTGGGAGGAGGTTATCTTAGAAACAACTCCAGTGGTTAGACAGGAACCTACCATATTATTTTCAGAGGCAAGCGGAAATTTGTGAAACATCTGTGAGTCAGGGGACCCCAAAGTCAGAACTGCAATTCACAAGAATCATGAGCTGTGTTATCATCAGAAAACTTAGTGTGAAAAGGTTGACACCTGCGAATCTATGCACCCTTGAGGGCTGATCTCGGGCAGAGGCCTTGATACATGGCCTCGGAATCTCAACTGCAAGGACATGGGAGAGTCAGAACAGCTGCCGAGTCTAAGACCAGTTGATAGGGGCAGCATTGATAACACCTTCTGACAAGAAATATGATCATCTGGAATAGACAGGGCTGGGGAGGAGGGAGGCAGTTCCCGAGTTTAAGAGAAAGCACTTTGAGTCTTTGATTGGATGGACGCATAGAGAGGTGGATGTATGGATGATGATGAATAGAGGGTGTAAAGTAGATAGATGGATAGATAGATGGATTGATGATGGACAGATGAATGATAATGAATGATGGGTTGATAGATGGATGATGGATGGATGGATGATGGATAACCTGATGGATGATGAGGAATGATGGATGTATAGGTGAGATTGAAATAATAATACCCTGTCTTCTAGTTTTCCAAAGTTATATTATAAACAAATACAATTAATCCAGTTTTGTAAAAGATTATGGAAACATTGAAATTTCAGATATGTAAACGACTTAGTGAAATCCTAATTGTTTTAAAATACACAGAATATTAGCAGGAATTTTTTTCATGTTGTCTTGAGCCCTTATAATAGCCAAGAGGTGCATAGCACCAATGTGACCAGTTTAGATGTTGTGATCTGAAGTCATTAGGATGTTGGCAGAGAGCATCAAGCTTTGCATATGAAGACCTAAGGTAAGGAGATCCTCTGAGTTATTAAATGTGGCCCACAGTTTAGTGGCAGGAAGTAGGGCTGAAGCATGCAGAGAAGCCACTCTATTAAGCCCTGCTTTAGAGACTGGGCTTCCTGTGGAAGGCAGGAGGGAGCTTACTCACTTACAGTAGATAACAGTCCTCCGTGACAGCAGGGGAGGCTGCATCCTCAAGCCTCCTGCCTGCAAGGCAGCAGCTGCTCGGTTATAATCGTCCTAGAGCCCCCTGCGGGAGTCTTTAGAGAGACACAGAAAATAAAGATGTGGACTCCAATCCCAGAGGCACAGAGATGGCAAAGGGCCCCAGGTGCTGCGGTTCGTCCATGGCCTTTGCCGGGTGTTTCTGCTGTCCCTGGCCAACAGCACTTTCTCTGTGACTGGACTAGTTACCCTTCTCTTGGCTGTGGATGCGGGGAGGCCCCTCCCACCCCACTCTGGTGGGTGACTCTGGCTTCATGGCTAGCCTAGATGATTCCAGCCTAAAACATGGTGTGGTTGCTTCCAGGAATGTCTCACAGGATACAAAATATTCTGGCTAGAATTGCTTCTCCCCTAGGAGGGGTACAATGAGGGATCATGAAGGTGCATGCTCCCAGAAGATCAGTGGTACTCAGTGTTTTAAAACGGGATGATTGTCCGCCATCACCGTTAAGTTCCTTTAATATCACTGCAGGCTTTGGGGGTAATAATGCATCTGTTACCTACAAGCATCGGGCTTCCCAGATTGGTTTTGGGAGGAATTCTGCCTCCCCTCTGCCCACTCTTGGTGGTCTTTTCTTGCTTTGGCAGGGAGGAGACAAAAGAATGGAACAACTGTTGCCTAATGACTTGTTTTTATTATCCAGCTTTATTATATGCTGCCGGACCATGGGGAATTGATTCACTAATCCATTTTGCCCTTTGAGCTGTGGGAGGGTGGGAAGAGCACCTGGAGAACAGTGGGGATTCAATAATACCACATTTAAAATTCTACTCCACAAATAGACTCTGATCATCTTCCAGGGCCTGGGCCCCACACATCTCCATTGTCCATGTCTCCAGTTCCCTGTCCACCCTTTCCTTTCATGGCCCGGCAGGAGTCCATATGCTTTATAGCTCACGGTTAGTTCACAGCTTTCACTAAGCTCTGCTGGTGGTGTCCCTTCCCGATTCTGTCACCCGGGTGCTCACAGATCTTCACCACCCCCTTCCTGGATGCCTCTTCTCACACCGACATGCTAATGCAAGTCTCAGCTCTCATCTGTGATGGCTTGAACCCGTGTGAAAGCTCTGCTTCCCTAGTGCCTCCAGCCTCCAAGGCCAAGCCTGTGGTGCAGCCCATACTGACCCAGGCAGAAGCAGCATGGCATCATCCTCACGACGTCTGCCATCATCGTCCCTCCTCAATGTCCACTTCACATTCTAATGCTTCTTTCTAGTAAGCTCTAGGATTTCCTGTCTTGCTTTAATCATGAGTTTGCTTGAGTCAATCATTTACCTGAACATCGGGATATTGCATAATAATTGACAGTGTTTGGAAATTCACAAGTACCTTCTTAGATACTGCTGCTTTTATTATCACTAACTATTATAAACCTTCTCCCCAGACTGTTCTGTTCTTAACAACCTTTTCATCTGTATGTTTCCAACGCCCCCCCCCACTTCTTATGCATTAATACAAGTGGCTAAAAGAAGGAGAAGTGGATTTCTATAGGTAGTTAGCAGTCTCTGTCTCATGGCAAATCCAGGGGGCGGTAGAGCCCAGAAGGGCCTGCTAGCCTTAACCGTGGGCTTTGTAAACCCTGCACCTTGACAAGATGGTCCTGTGAGCTGTCTCTCCGCAGCAGGCAAAAGGCATCCTCTATGGCTTTGTTTCTCTTCATTACACAGGATAGGAGATTAAAATATGTGAAGTGACTTGGAGAAACAGATGTGGGTAATATTTTTGGATAAAGACCGTCTCACATATTTTTTTTTAATGTTTCTTAACTTTTAACTGAAAATATTGATATAACAAAAAGCCATTTAAAATAACAGATTTGTGGGAGGAAATATGTGCAATCTCACAATATAAATAAATGCAGCTCATGAATAATTAAAATGTGCTTTTGCTTTTTGATTTTCATAGATTTGAATTTTCTGTTCTCTGAAAGAGTTACATTAGCATCATTAACATTCAGACGATTAGGAAAAGGTGTCTATGGGGTTCATTTACAATTCAAGTGAGTTTTTATCTTTACTGTGGAGGAAAATGTACTGACAGAAATTACCCCAAGTTCCAAGCTATGGTTTTTGATACATTTTTAAATACATCAAACTGAGCTGCCCTTATTCTAACTATGTTCTACACATTCACAGTGTTTATAGTGACAGTGTGTGTGGACATCTGTACTTTATATAATTAGCATGTAATGAACTTGGTGTTTTCATGAAATTGAAAGATAGGACCAGATTCTTTGTGCTCTTGTCTAAAATATGTGTGTCTGTTGTCTACTTGTAATCTAAGTTTCATTCTGTCCCCAGAGACCATCATGACTGTGTGCCCAGCTCCCCCCACCATAGGAAGCTAGCCTATCTATCCTGTCACTCACATTTATCAGGAAACACTTGGGCACCCTGGGGCTGCACTCTGCTCTTCAGGCTGTTGGGCCTGGGCTTTCTCAGGTCTTCTGGGCACTGATCTTATTCTTCTCATGTGAAGCTGGCTTCCAAGTGTCACTGTCCTCCATTCCAGCACAAATGAGCAAGCCCAAACTCCTGTCGTAGTGAAGCAGGCACGTTCCTCTGAGTGTTATGGTGTAGAGCTCCGAGGGCTTAAATCACAATTGAATCAACTTAAAATGTAAACAAAGCACTTGGGTCTGTAAGATTCTTAATCTTTTCTCTGCTGGCATGTTTCCTGGACTCCACTGTGTTCCTTAACTCTGTCTCTGCCTTTGCTCCCTGCCCCCTTTCTTCTTTTCTTTATTTTTCTACATGACAGCCAAGTCCCTGCATGGTTTTAAAACAAACATCTTCTATATGGTTTTGCAATGTTCAACCATTCATTCCCTCGTCTCAAATTTGAAACTCCATCCCCAACCAAAATGTAAAACAAAATAAAATGAGCCCACTGAATAAACTGAATAAAATAAAAATGATCATGTTCATTAGATAAATAAATAGCCAGAGTGGAAATAGCCGGAGAGCAGTAAGTGCCTTTGAGGCGGCCATGACTGCCTTGTCATGGGTTTGGAGGAGCGTGGAGATGGAGGGAGCCGTTCTCCCAGCTCCAGAGCTGCAGGGATATTTTGGCACGAACAGCTGCTTCTGCTTCTTCACTCATGACAGAGTTGAAGAAAGGGTGCCGGGCACTTCTTCCCTTGGCAGTGTTGATAGATTTCTGGTGCTTTGCCAGCGGCTCTCCCACAGGGCTCAAACACCAACAGGGAAGCTAGGGAGAGAGAGAGGCTAGGAAGTGAACAAGGGGAGACAGCCCGCAGACCCACAGACCGGTGGGCTCCACAGGGACTTAGAGGACTGAGAGAAGGCTCAGCAGGTCAAGTGCTTGTGGCTAAGCACAGAACCTGAGTCAAGATTGGCAGCACTCACAGAAAGAAGGGCCCCAGTGGGGGGCCAGTGAGTCAGCTGAAAGTGAGTTCTGGGTTCAGTGAGAGACCCTGCCTCAAAACAATAAAGGAGGCTCCACTGAGGAAGGTATCCTCACGTCAACCTCTGGACTTCATGTGTACATACACCCAAACACTGCACACGCATTGGCACACGCATGCATACTCACATGCACAGGCACACGCAGTGAAAAGCATAGCAGGAGAGGAAATATGACAGGAATTACGTCTGAGCAGACTCCCTCCACAATGATGCCCTTCCTCTAGCAACTCTCCACCTCCTAAAGGTCCCATATCCTCTTCAAACAGTGCCACCTACTGGGAGCCAAGGGTTCAGTGCCTGAGCCTATGGGGCCATTTCCCAATCAAACCATGAGAACCATGCTATTTTTCTGACAATCGTTGTATAGGATAATTTAAAACAGGTGTCAAGATTCCTCCAGCATTGTTCTTTCTGCTAAGGATTGCTTTTGTGCTTGTGAATTTTGGGTCTGTTTTCCCTAATTCTATTAAGCATAACATTGGGCATTGGAAGGAAATAGTACTCAGTATGTAGTGGCTTTGTTAATATATTCAGCTTCAAAATAAGGATATGGCTAATGGTGAACATGAAAGACTTTTCTGTCTAATGGTATCATCTATAATGTTTCCTTCTGTGTCTTAAAGCTCGCAGTGTGCACTAAACTGTGTTAGCCTTATTTCTAAGTCTCTGTTTACACAATCCCAAACATGCATAATGCTTTGATCACAGCCCTTACAACTCTTACTCACTCCTCCTCCCCTAAATCCCTTCTTTCCCCAAAAGTCACCCTTGTTTTTCCATGCCCTTTTTCCTGTGGCCTACTTCAGAGAGTGCCTGGCACCATTCCTTTCTAGTTTATAGAGTAGTTGTAGAAACAATAGAGTTAGTTCTTAAAATATCCAGTAGAGTATGGCAGACAATCATCCTAGTTCTGGGATTCTCATTCTAAGCACACTATTGTTGCTTCGCCCTCATCGATGGTTACAGATCTGGTTGTTTATATCTTCCTGATTTGATTTTGGTCACAATAACCAGGATGTTATCCATCTCTTTTAGGTTTTCCAGTTCTCTTGAAATATAAGTCTTCAAACATCTCCTAGTGTCTTTCTGGATTCATTGGTACATGTAAAAACTCATTTCTCATCTGTAATTTCATTAATATAGGTCTTGCAGGTTCACCTACTTTGGTTACCTTGGCAAAAGCTATGATGACTTTATCTTTTCAAAGAGCCAACTCTGTGCTGTTAACTCTTTGTATAATCAATTTAATTGCTATGCCATTAACTTCTGCCCTTTAGTTTATCTTTTTTTTTTGTATGCTGATTTTGGTTTTGTCTCATTATTGTTTTTCTCAGAAACTGAAATCTGTTATTAAGTTATTTATTATGCCTTACTAACTTTTAAAATTTTCATGTGTATGAGGATTTTGGTTGCATGTGCACTATCCGCATTTCCGTTGCCCACGGAGGGCCAGAAGAGGGCATCAGATCCCCTGAAATTCCAGTTAGATGGTTGTGATCTACCATGTGGGTGATACTAATTGAATCCAGGTCCTCTGGGAGAGTAGTTAGTGCTCTAAGCCACTGAGCTATCTCTGAAGCTCTAAGTTTTCCTCTTTTTTTTTTTTTATGTTTTCATACAAGTTCACACATCTAGGACCTCCCCTCTTAGAAGTGCCTTACTGTCTACCAAAGGCCCTGATAAGCTATGCTTCTAGTTTCATTTGATTTTATCACATTTTAGATTTACCTCTGACCCTTTCAATGTCCCACTGGAACCTCAAGAGTGTTCTGCTAAGTCTCCATATATTCAGGTAATGTCTGTAGCTTCTCTTGCTATTGATTAATACTTTAATTCCACTATGACATGGTAACATTCAAGAAAATGTTTTAATTCTTTTGTATTTGTTAAGACTTGCTTCACTGCCTAAAGTGGAACCTATTTCAGAAAAAGGTCCACGGGCTGCTGACAAGATTGTGCATTCCTTTGTTGCTGGTGGAATATTCTATAGGTGTCTGTAGAATATTTTATAGATGTCTCTTGAGTCCATGTGATCTATGACACAGTTAAATTCTGAAGTTTCCATATTGTTTCTGTGAAGATATGATGAGAATGATTTGAATCACACACTTTTGCTGTTTCCAGACCAGTGGTTTCACTTATTCACAGGAGTGCCACTTTAGGACAATGAGTAGATCGCCATTCATGTTCATTTATCTAAAACAATCTCAGTTTCCTTGCTGAACTTTCCATCCATGTTTTCACTTTTCCTGTCTGTAATGCAGACTTTCTATCCCATGTACTGGAGTGATTTCTTACCTCACTCATCTGCTCATTTGTTTCCTCTGTGAAATCATTCTTCATTTAGAAGTACACTTTGGGCATTCTTTGTTTAGGCTTTCAACCATTTTAATGTTTCTGGATTTGGTCATGGAGAATTTCTGATCTCTTAAGGGTGCTTCATTGCCTTGTTTCTTCATGTCTCTGCTGTTATTTGTGTGTCTGCTGGTTTGTTTAACCTTTCTGGTTTCATTTAGGGACCTTAGCAGCCTACTTTTGAGTTCTCTGTTATCACTGGTGGAGAAAATGAGCTACTGGAAAATTAACCAAACCGAATCAATCTAAAGACATTAAAAAATGTGTTTGCTAATATGGAGACCGAAGCATATTTCCAAGCCACACTAAAGGTTAGTTGTCAGAAATCAACAGCAACTATAAAGCCTAAGACAGCATCACAACTTAGTGAAAACAGGGGAAATTGCCTGCCATCACCTTCATAAATGCTGTGTACATACATTCCTTCACCCCTTTGGATGCACTTACAGTTCACTTAGTGAGTTTTTTTATTTATGTATATATATATTCATTTATTTTTAAAGATGTATTTTAATGGGGTGTGTGTGTATGTGTGTGTGTGAGGGGGGGTGTTTACCATGTGTTTGCTGGTACCTTTGAGGGCCACAAGAGGGCATCAGATTCCATGGAGCTAGAGTTATAGGCCCTTGTGAGTCACTTGACATGGGTTCTGAAACCAAAATTGGGTCCTTTGGAAAAGCAGTTTTTGATCTTAACCACTGAGCCGGT